AACTCACTTTCCCTCCTCTACTTGAAGCGTGATCAACAATTTCAACAATTAGACTTCCAAAAACATTCCCAAATCCCATTCCTAGTGCAAATAGTGCCACTCCAATACTAGCCATGCTCTTAGGAAATTGTGAATAGTAAAATTCTATTTGTCCAATCGCGTTGAATGCCTCAGCTAGACCAGTTAAACAATGTTGCGGTACTAGCCACATTGCTGACATATCCACTTGTGACAAGGGATGGTTCGCGAGTCCTTCGTTAAGGGCTCGTGCTCGCCTTTCTCTCTCCACTAACGCTGCAGCTCCCTGAGATGCACAAGAAAGTAACAACCCGATCCCCATACGTTGCTTGAAGCTCAGGCCGCGAGGTTTCTTAGTGAATTTTGAAATCCAGGGGACGAGGATTCGGTCATAGATGGCTATCCATATTGTTAATGTGAGAATCCCAAATGCACCATAGGAACCTGCTGGAATTTTGAAGTTACTACCTTTTATTAAATGTCTGTCCATTGTATTTGCTTGTAACACTGGAAATGCATGTTGGCTTAGTGTTACTGCTATCATAATTCCTGTAGACCACATTGGGATTACTTTGATCAAAGCTTTGAATTCTTCTACTTGTTGAACTGTACAAAGGTTCCATTGATCTGAAGTTGTTCCATTTGGATTCAAATCTTTCTCAGGATTTCTAACGATACACGCCTTATTTAGAAACCTATGGAATATGACAAAAAATTATAAAATTATAGTGTATGTAACTTAAATCCGAATAATGTACCTTAGTTTATGGGTTGGAAAAGTAAATCTTGAATCCTTGATATGATGATACCACCCATTAGAATCCACAGGAGGCAAAGAAAGGTGTTTGTTTTTCCAGGCAACAACAACAACTTGAGCAAAACCAGTAAGCAAACTCTTGTTTGCTTTTATCCTAATGAAAAGTGCAGAACCCAAAAGGAACATAATAGTTGCCAAAAACATAAGTCCTGCAGGCACTCCAAAACCCACCACCCAACCAAATTTTGTCTGAATATACACTATAACTGTCACTGAAATCAATATTGATATCCCCACTGATGCGTAATACCTGTTGCGAAAATAACACATAAAAATAATATTCAGGATAAATAACAATAATAATAATTATGTCTCAACAGTCAGATAGTGGGGTTAGCTGTATGAATCTCATCAATACTATTCACATGATATTTTAAAATTCTGGATTCCGAGAATATTCATAATTAATATTCCATCTGTTTCAAATTAGATGACACACTTTTTTTATTAATTCGTTAAAAAAAAGAATGACATATTTGTACAATTGAAAATAATTCAACTTTAAACTCTTCATTTTACCTTTAATGAGAAGCTTTATAACCACACAAATGCCATGACCCCATAAAACTTTTACTCCTTAAGCTTTTAAGACCACAAGTTTCAAAAGTCTTCTTTTTTTCTTTCTTAAATTCCGTACCGAGTCAAACTAACTCATCTTAATTGAAACGGAGGGAGTAATAGAGAATAAAGGACGAACATAAGAGGCGGACCTATGTATAGTGTTGAGGGGTAACCATACCCCGTAAACTTCGACAGAAATCTTGTATATGTATATGTGTATACCTTGAAAATGATTATATAAATAAGTTGGTACCCTGAACACTAAAATCTTTAGAGAGTACTGGTTGAGCAAAATAGTGTTGCCCCGTCATGTTAAAATCTTAGGTTCGCCTCTGACGAACATATCAAGATACAGTGAATAACATGAATAATAAGAGGATAGCAGGATTACCAATTGAAGAAACTTTGCAAGATTCTTCCATTATTGGGATTCTCAGGGTTGTCAAATTGGTCAGCACCAAAGGCTAATGAACATGGCCTAATTCCACCAGCTCCTATGGCCATTAATGCAAATGATGAAAAGAGAAATGCAAACTGGCCAAAGTCTGGTTTTTGACAATTTTCTGATTCTAATTTGCAAGGATGTGGTCTTGCTTCTTTTAGTATAGCTGTTAACCACAGGGCCACCATTCCCTACCAGGAAAATACAGTGTTAAATTTGATCTCGATAATGAACAAAGGTAAATTCAAGATTAAAGTCAGTGAGTTCAGGATGAGTGTGAGTTCATGTCTAGCCGTAAATAATATTTCGTTATTTGCAAATACTTAACTTTAGTATTTGAATTACTACCTTAAAAAGTTTGTTTGATGAGTTTTTCAAGTGAAAGTAATGGTTTCTCCTAACAACATCAACTTTTCTTTTTTCCGGTGAAAATTTATGTTCAGACACAATTTCAACTTTAAAATACTTTAGTTTCAATTTCAACTTCAGATGCTTTTTAAAAAAAAATATTCGACCAAATATAGTCCAAATGCTATATAGATACCAAATATTGTCACACACATATTTTTTTGTATATATAGATATCTTTAAAAAAAATATATTATTATTACGGGGTTGAGAAGGGGAACATTACATATAGGTGGTACTCGATCCCTCACCACATGGTGATGGATGAGGAACTCATACTATGTGAATAATTCGTATAAAAGATAATATGTTTAGTTGAACTCGTAGAACTGCGTCTAGTCATAAATTTCAATGAAAACGACAAAGAACTAGAACAATAGAAAGGAGAATGTACTCACGATGAGGCTAATGAGTGTCCCTAAAGCAATAACATAATAACGACCCAAGTAAGAATCAGAAAGAAAAGCTCCAAAAATGGGAGTGAAATTGGATAGGGCATTCCACCAGAAAAGAATGCTTGCCCCTGTAGCATTAGTTAAGTGATACTCATTTTTCAGGTATAATATCATATTTGCGTGCAGTCCTACACTTGCAACCTTGTCCAATGCCTCATTTGCTGTTATCATCAAAACCAGAAACATAATCAATAACGTCGAAAAATTGCTTGTTATCAGTTTCAACATTTCTATTCAAACACGTATTTCTTCCGTTTCATTTTATATGATGGTATTTATTAACTCGACACGAATTAACAAAGAAAGAAAGACTTTTACCGGTCTTGAACCTACCATGACATTTCTATGTCTATAAAAAAAGTTAAATTATTTTCAAATACAGAAAGTAGCCATTCTTTTTCATTATAACAAAGGACTAAATATAAGAATGAATTTACATACCGATAACAAAAGGCATGGTTTTAAGGCCACCTTTCTTGTCATCTGAATAGCTTCCTTTTTTCTCCATCACCACAAAACTATGAACTAAAAAAAGGTCTTTTTTGCTATACAAAACTTTTGAGAATGATTGGGAAAAATGGGTTTTTTGTTCAGAAAGATAGAGAGAAAGCTAATGAGAATAGTAGTTTTTTTCTAGTGGTCTCTTTAACAGCTTGTTTTTGCCTTATGCAAAACGGTTGAAAAATTCCATTTCCACAAATTCGACAAACATGCCAAGTATAGCCAATAACATGCCATGACTTATGATGTCGATATAATCTTTTATAACTTTATACACTCGGCATTTGAGACATACTGGCTTGTCTAATCTAGATTTGGTAATTTGCACCGCGTAAGGTCCATTAAGACGTCCGTAATATCGAGTAACTGCTTTGTAATCTCAGCTAAGTTGATGTAATCAGTCACTGTCTTATATTCGGCTTTGGAAGTTTGTCTAAGTCTGGTTAATTAGTACAACAACTAGCTGGAGTGTCATGAACATAAATTGTTAAAGTTACGGCATCCACTTAATTTACTTTTCGAATCTAATTTGTTATTTGTCATTGTATATCTAGCTCTTTGTTACTCAAATTAATAAACTAGTATCACATGATAATTACAGCCTAATTAACTTGAATAAGTGAGTTAAGTTGTCCCATGCGTTTAGTGTACATACTTTATTTAGCATCCCTTGTTTGGGTTTTGACACAAACCTATAGGGGCCACACGAATTTCGTACTCCCTCTTATGATGATCGGAGAGAAATGAGAAGCAGAAAAGTGCACTGATTAAAAATATACTCCCTCGGTTTCAATTTAGATGATTTAGAGGGTGTTTGGATTGGCTTTTAAGCTGGTCAAATCAGCTTTGAAGCTCTTTTTAATTTTTTTCAGTATTTGGCAAAGTCACAAAGTGCTTAAAATAAGTTAAAAATTACTTAAAATAAACCAAAAGCAATAAGGTGGGCAATCCCAACTTATCGTTTTTTGGCTTAAAAGCTATTTGTGCTGAAAAGTCACTTTTTTTAAGTCAATCCAAACATGCTCTTAATTTGATTTGGTACAAAATTTAAGAAAGAAAAGAAGACTTTTGAAATATTTGGTCCCAAAAGATTAAGGGGTAAAAGCTGTGTGAGTCCATGACGTTTGTGTGGCTATAAAAGCTTCTCATTAAGAATAAAATAGAAAGTTTAAAGTTAAATTATTTCCAAATACATAAATGTATCATTTATTTTTGGAACAAACTAATTAGAAAAGTGTGTCATTTAAATTAGAGTAATACTTTTTATAATCATCTGGTATCTGGAACTCACTGTATCAAGTAATACAATCATGTAGCGTCTCTTTAAGAGGAAAGCGCTGAGTTTGTCCATTTTCAAAACTCGAATCAAAAAACTCTGTTTAAAGATGGATGGATCAAACACTTCTCGTCACCCCCTTTGATGGTGATTAAAGAAAAGTGTATAATTCAAATAAGAACAGACTAAGGAATTGTTCTAGTGGGCAAAGAAAAACATCTTTAATAAAAAGAGCACGTAAAAAGCAGGCCAATAAAATGTTCAAAAAAATAACATAAAATTAATTTGCTTTTATTGGAGTACAAAGATCAGCTTCAAGATGTTCCATAAAAATATTGTTGTACAAAATTAAAATGTCATATTTGCTTATTTATACAGGAAATTAACTTTTCTACTTTGAACCCTTCCCCACCTTATATATACAACCCTGCTCTAAGATAACACGAAGATGAAATAGCGGTGCATCCAGAATTTTACAGTACCACCGAGTATATGTTAACAACTTTTGACACTAAAAATTGTCTACAACATGACAATCTCTCCTTTCTTTTCAGCTTGATCTTCCTCCCAAAATCTTGTATCTTCATCAGATCCATAAGCCCAACCACACACAATGAAGTAGAACAAATTCCCAACACTTAACAAGCAAAGAACCCAATAGTAATAATCATAGTGACCTAAATTCAAGTTATTTGATACCCAACTCACTTTCCCTCCTTTACTTGAAACATGATCAACAATTTCAACAATTAGACTTCCAAAAACATTCCCAAATCCCATTCCTAGTGAAAATAGTGCAACTCCAATACTAGCCATACTCTTAGGAAATTGGGAATAATAAAATTCTATTTGTCCAATCGCATTGAATGCCTCAGCTAGACCAGTTAAACAATGTTGTGGCACTAACCAAAATGCTGACATATTCACTTGTGACAACGGATTTTTTGCTAGTCCTTCATTTTGGGCTCGTGCTCGTCTTTCTCTTTCCACTAATGCTGCTACCGCTTGTGCTGCACAAGAAAACAACAACCCGATCCCTATACGTTGCTTGAAAGTCAATCCGCGAGGTTTTTTAGTGAATTTTGAGATCCAGGGGACGAGGATTCGATCATAGATGGCTATCCATATTGTCAATGTAATAATCCCAAATAAACCATAAGAAGCTGCTGGGATTTCAAAGTGACTATTCAAATGTCTATCCATTGTATTTGCTTGTAACACTGGAAATGCATGTTGGCTTAGTGTTACTGCTATCATAATTCCTGTAGACCACATTGGGATTACTTTGATCAAAGCTTTGAATTCTTCTACTTGTTGAACTGTACAAAGGTTCCATTGATCTGAAGCTGTTCCATTTGGATTCAAATCTTTCTCAGGGTTTCTAATAATGCATGCCTTATTTAGAAACCTTTGAAATATGACCAAAAATTGGTTATCAATAAGCTTGTTCATTCAATATTCAAAGAAACTACTAACAAATAATTTTCAATCATCAGTAAGAGAGTATGATATAAAGATCTTTGTCTGTTTAATTATACCGCTATTGGCTGTTACGATCAAGCGCTTATCATCATGCCAAAAGATATACTAGCTGATAGCAAAGGCTTAACTTTATTTCTTAACCAACTCCACCAAGCAAGCACCATGTTCGACCATGACTCTGACCTAGTCTACCCTAACCCCCTCGTGGGCTTGCCATAGGCATAAGGTTGGCGTTACCCAACAATAGCATTATTTAGCTGTTTGTCCTTAATCATCTTTGTTCCACTTAGAATATATTTGTAACCTTTTCTTATGCTAAAGTTCTCGTGTGAGGGGACAAGAGGTTCTTTGGTGGCATCGCCAACAAGAAATCTAGTTATTCATGTTAAATAACAAACTAATATTAGGCATTCTACGTCTAGACAATGCTAATTATTTTTAATCATAAAATATTCAAGTACTCTATGCACAAGAAGTAAAAGAAATGGTCAATGTAGTATGTGAATAGAATGAGTTTCAGTTTGGCCATAGAAACAAAAAAAATATGAACAAAATTTTTAAAGTTAAAGTTGTGTTTAGACATGCATTTTACTTTTAAAAAAAAAGTTGAAGCTTTGTGAGTGGAAAAAAAATATTTTTCTGGAAAACTTGAAAAAGTGGTTAAAATCACTTTTTGATTTTTGAAAAACTCAGTTTCAAAAAGTTTTCAAAAACTTACAAATTTCCATGGACACACTTTTTTTTTAATAAAAAACAATTCTGGAAAAAAGCAAAAAATATTTATGGCCAAACGCCTCCTAAGTTAATTTACAATAAGTGTAATTCCTCATAGCGATTTTAATATGGTAACTTGAAAAAAAAAGTAATAACTTGCTATATATACCCCATCAACTAACACCAAATAGTTACATTTTCAATATATACAACATAAATCCGAATAAAGTACCTTAATTTATGGGTTGGAAAAGTAAATCTTGAATCCTTTTCGTGATGATACCACCCATTAGAATCCACAGGAAGCAGAGAAAGGTGTTTGGTTTTCCAAGCCACAGCAACAACTTGAGCAAAACCAGTAAGTAAACTCTTCTTTGCCTTCATCTTAATAAAAAGTCCAAAACCCAAAAGGAAGAAAATTGTTGCTAATAACATAAGACCAGCAGGTACTCCAAAGCCCACCACCCAACCAAATTGTGTCTGAATATACACTATAACAGTCACTGAAATCAACACTGATATGCACACTGATGCATAATACCTGTTGACAAGAATTAATACACAAAAATAATATTCACGGTAAATAATAGATTAAAGAACGAACGTCAACACATAGTAAACAATAAAAATAAAAAGTACTCCCTTCGTTCCAATTTATGTAATGCAGTTGGAATCTCCGGAATCAAACTTCTTAGGGCCTGTTTGGCCATAAGAATTTTTTTACTTTTTTTGGAATAGGTATTTGGCCATGAAAATTTCAAATTTCACTTGAAGTTGAATTTCGGAATTTTTTCGAAAATTTGAAAAACTCCAAAAAGCTGTTTTTCAAAATTTTCATTTCAACTCACTCACAAAAAAATCAAAAAGAGCTCCAAATTGTATTCATGTCCAAACACAATTCTAATTTTTAAATATCATTTTTCCTTGATTTTTTTTCCCCACTTTTTCCCCGAAATTTCACAATTCTTATGTCCCAACGCCCACTTAATTTTAGCCGCAAATTCGAATATAGAATCTTCATGTTTTTTAAATAAAATTTTATATACTAAAAAAACTCATGGTAATGAACTGCATAGCATAAATTGGGACATGGGGAGTAAAACAAGTACACCAAGATTTTAACGTGACAAATATACCAATTGAAGAAACTCTGCAAGATCCTTCCGTTGGTCGGATTTGCAGGATTGTCAAATTGGTCAGCACCAAAGGCTAATGAACATGGCCTAATTCCACCAGCTCCAATGGCCATTAATGCAAATGATGAAAGGAGAAGTGCAAGTTGGCCAATGTCTGGTTTTAGACAGTTTCCTGAGTCTAATTTGCAACGATGTGGCCTTGCTTCTTTTATTATAGCTGTTAACCATAGGACCACCATTCCCTAACAAGGAAAATATGGTGTTAAATCTGATTATGATAAGGAAAAGAAGCTAATCTAGGATTTAGAGTCGGTGAATTCAAAATAAGTCCGATTTTATTTTTATTATATATACAGATGCTAACTCTTTTTGTTTATCTATATAGAGTTCAAATTCGAAAGCAATGAGTTTAGTTAAATGCACATCATTGCCCTAGATTCGTCTCTGATAATGAATTTCAATAATGAATGCTCATCATGGGCGGAGCTAGAATTTCTATTACGGATTCGGCCAAACCTAATAGCTTTGTATGTACAACTTATTAATTTAAAACTCAATAACTTTAAGGGCTCGTTTGGTACGAGAGATAAGGGATAATTAATTTCAGAATTAAATTTGATATGAGTTTATCCCACATTTAGTGGGGGTAAAATCGTAGTATAACTAATCTCAGGATTAGTTATTCCGGGATTGTAGTGTTTCTTTATTCCTATGGGAAGGTGAGATAACAATCCCGGGATAACTAATCCCGAGATAATTAATCTTGTGATAACTTATTTCCCAACCAAACGACCCCTAAAGAGTTAGAATCCTAATAGTTAAAATTCTGAACGTGTAAGTTTCAAATCCTGGTTTCGGCTATGATTTCAACCAAAAGTATTACAAAGAACTAGCAGAGTAAAAGGGAAAATGTACTCACCAGAAAGCTGATGAATGTCCCTAAAGCAATCACATAATATCGACCCAAGTAAGAATCAGAAAGTAGAGCTCCAAAAACAGGCGTGAAATTGGATATTGCACCCCACCAAAAAAGAGTGATTTGCCCTCTAGCATTAGTTAAGTGATACTCATTTTTCAGGTACATGATCATATTTGCACTTAATCCTACACTTGCAAGCCTCTCCAATGCCTCGTTTGCTGTCATCATCAAAACCATAAAGCATATTCTTTAATGTCAAAAAAACAAAAATAAGTTAAAAGCGTATTTGGTATGACGGAAGTCAATTTTCATAAAAAAGTTTTTTTTTTCCAAACAATGTCTTTTGGCCATTGAAAGGGAGTCTTAGAGTAGCGGTAAAGTTATTTTCATGTGACATATAAGTCACGGGTTCGAACCGTGATGGCAGCCACTAATGTTTACATTAGGGCAGACTGTCTACATCACACCCCTTAGGATATGAGCCTTCCCCGAACTCTATGTAAATGCAGGATACTTTGTGCACGGAGTTGTCCTTGCCCTTTTAAATGTTTTTCGGCGTTTGGTTGGAGGTGGAAAAAGAATGTGTATGTTTGTGTGTGTATATGTATAGATAACATTAATATCAGAGAGTGTTTTCAAGAATATTTTGAATAATGAACATCAATAATGTCGTCCAAGTGCTAGCTGGAGTAAATAATTATGTAGTAATTAATCGTTATGATAGTTATAAGGAAAATGACTTCCACCTAAGAGTGATTAGGGAAGTCATATTCCTCCTTTTGATGATAAACAATTTTTTTTTAGAGTTAGATAGATAAATTATGGATTTTGTAAGTCATTTGCTTGTACGTGTTTTTGACCGGTGAGGATCAATAAAAAAATTTCTTTCACCAAAAAAAAATATTTTACTTAAATGACTTCTGTCATACCAAACACACCGTTAATTCAAGCAGAAAAATTCATACCAAAGGACTAAAAAAATATGAAATTACATACCGATAATAAAAGGCATGGTTTTAAGGCCACCTTTCTTGCCATCTAAGACATCCTCAGAAGTCTTCACTAAATCCGAAGAACTTCCTTTTCTCTCCATCTCCATAAGTATGTTTCAAAAAGTCTTCTTTTTTGCTAAGTAAAACTTATGAGAATGAGAGAACAAAGTGAGCTTTTTGTTCAGCTTCTCTAAATAACAGTTTGTTTTTGCCTTATGCAAAAAGATTAACACTCTGACTAATCCGAATTCTCGTCGTATAGGTTTATTAATATGTCAATAATATCGAGCAACTGCTTTGTAATATCAGCTAAGTTGATATCAATGAGTCATTGTCTCATAGTGTTATTCAATTTTGGAAGTGTGTCAATTGTCATGAACATATTGTTAATATTACGGCAAGGCATCCACTAATTAATTTAATTTTTAAATAAATCTAATTTGTTTGGAGGAATCCCAGCCAATGGAACTAGTAACTTTTTTTCTTCCTTTTTCTTCTTTAAGAAATAGAGGAAGGGTTCTTGTCACGACCCGAAATTTCCATCTTCGGCCCGTGATGACGCCTAACATTTCACTTGATAGGCAAGTTAACGTTAGAATAATCTTAACCATTTTTAAACAAATCAAATTAAGCGGAAGTCAATTACTGAAATAAAGTGCGGAAGACCATCACAACCGAATCATCAAAATACATCCCCGAATCTGGTGTCACAAGTGCATGAGCTACTAGAATAATACAAATAAAGGTTTGACTAATATTCAAGATGTTTGAAAGATAATACACAGCTAAGATAAGTAGTAGGGGACTTTAGAACTGCGGACGCTGTACAATTATACCTCAAGTCTCCTCTGGGTAGCTGAATCCGAGCAAGTCTATGGTACGTCGCTGGGACCAACTCCAAAATCTGCACAAGCAGTGCAGAGTATAGTATGAGTACAACCGACCCCACGTACTCCGTAAGTGTCGAGCCTAACCTCGACGAAGTAGTGACGAGGCTATGACAAGACACGTACGTAAACCACTTGTACAAGCATATACAAATACGAAGCAACAATAATACAATAATTAACAATTTATAAATTTGAGAGGGAACATGCGAAGGGGAATGATATAGAAATTTCAGCAGGAGAAGTGTCAAGTAGCAGCCAATTAATTCATCAACAATAAAATGAGCAGTTGATAATATGAAAATGGCATGACAACACCCTTCGTGCTTTTACTCTCATTCTTTTCATAAATTTATAAATAAATAATAAGATTGGCACAGCATCACCCTTCGTGCTTTAGCTCTCTTTCTTGCCATAAATTGATAAATAAATAATAAGATTGGCATGACATCACCCTTCGTGCTTTAGCTCTCTTTCTTGCCATAAATTGATAAATAAATAATAAGATTGGCATGACATCACCCTTCGTGCTTTAGCTCTCTTTCTTTCCATAAATTGATAAATATATAATAAGATTGGCATGACATCACCCTTTGTGCTTTTACTCTCTTCTGGCACGGCATCACCCTTCGTGCTTTTACATTCTTTGAAAATGGCATGACATCACCCTTCGTGCTTTTACACTCTTTCTCACCATGACAAGGATAATATAAATAATATAAATGGCACGACATCACTCTTCGTGCTTTTATACTCTTTCTTACCATGAAAATAATAATATAAATTCGGAAGAGTATTTAAATGCGGGGATATACACTTATCAAACAGTTCAATACCAGAATACTGACCCCATCTTCCAAAATATTCAACAATAATTAAACCAGCAATAATCTCATGAAAAATGATCAATTAAACAATAATAATTTAAGCAGGAATATCTTAATTAAATAGGCAATTATTCATAGTAAACAAATTCCACCCGCATGCTTCGACTCAACCACAACGCATAAGTACTCGTCACCTCACATATACATTGTACCCGCATATTTATTCACGTAGCAAATAGAAAAATAAGTCCTACTCCCTCAAGTCAAGTTTAACCACGACACTTACCTCGCTTCGCAACTGAATCAAGATTCCAATAAACCTTTGCTTTGCGAATTGATGTCTGAAAGCTTCAAATCTAGTCACAAATAATTCAATATACTCAACAAGATTCGTAGGAATTAATTCCACATGAAATTTCTAATTTTCTGAATTGAATGCCGAAATTCATCTCAAAAATCAATAGTGGAACCCACGTCTAGAATCTCGAAAAAACTTATGAAATCCGAATACCCATTCTGAGACGAGTCCAACCATACAAAAATCATCAAATTCTGATGTCAAATGGACCTTCAAATCCTAAATTTTTGTTTTTTCAAAAGTTTTACAAAAATTTTAATTTCTTCCATCTAAATCAGAAATAAACGATGAATATAGAAATGGATTTATGAAATATCATCAATATATAATAAGGAACACTTACCCAGTTCGAAGTCGTGAAAAACTCCTTCAAATCGCCCAAAAACCAAGGTTTTAAAACTCAAACGAAATGAAGAAAAATAGCCATTTTCGACCCCTTAATGTTCTTCCTTGTCTCGTATGGCCTCGTATTTGCGAGACAAGGGCCGCATTTGCAAATCCAAGCAGCCAGGCGAGTTCTGCATCTAATGGGCCGCATTTGCGGCCGCGCAGAAGCGCAAGAAGGAGCCGTAGAAGCGACGAGGTGTGCATTTGCGATCGGCTGGCCGCATAAGCGGTATCACACCTACGATCAAAGCTTCGCAGACACGAATATTCCTTCCCAACCTCAACATCACAAAAGCGAAGCTTCCTTACCAGTCTCAATGTCGCAGAAGCGACATTTTCTTCGCAGAAGCAGGCACGCACCTGCGGCCAAAAATGCACATGTGGCACTAGAACCAGCACTGGACAACATTTTAACGACCCGGCCGGTCTTTTGAGAGTAATATACCCGATCCCCTATTTATTGCTTCTCCCATATCTATTTATGCTATTGTGACTTGCCGGGAGATTTCATTTTGGTTTTTGGAGTGTTTTGGGATACTTAGTCCCTAAATAGAGGTTTAAGCCTTAGGATTTAGACCGTAGTCGAAACTGTATGAAGACGACTCTGGAATGGAGTTCTGTCAGTTCCGTTAGCCCTGTTAGGTGATTTTGGGCTTAGGGGTATGTCCGGATTGTGTTTTAGCAGTTCGTAGCTTATTTAGGCTTGAAATGGCGAAAGTCGAATTTTTGGAGATTTGGATCGGTAATGGAAATTTTGATATCGGGGTCAGAATCCAATTCCGGAAGCTAGAGTAGGTCCGTAATATTGAATATGACTTGTGTGCAAAATTTGGGATCAATAGGACGTGGTTTGATAGGTTTCGACATCAGTTGTGGAAATTTGAAGCTTCAAGTTCATTAAGTTTGAATTGGAGGGAGATTCGTGATTTTAGCGTTGTTTGATATGGTTTGAGGGCTCGACTAAGTTCGTATGGTATTTTAGGATTGGTTGGTATGTTTGGTTGAGGTTCCGGGGGAATCGGGTGAGTTTCGGATGCCCAACGGATCGATTTTTGGACTTAGGAGGTTGCTGAAGATTTCTGGTATCTCAGTTCTAATTTCCTTATACGCGATCGTGTGGGGTGAATCGCGATCGCTTAGGCTTAGCTGGGCAGAGGAAGTTTTGTTCTTCATGTTCGCGGGCAGAAGGATGCGAACTCGTGGCCAAGGTCCCGTTCGCGTAGAGTTAAGGAGGCTAAAGCTGGGCCACGCGCTTTGCTCATCGCGAACGCGTGAGGACGTTGGCAACCGCGAGAGTCTGAGAGCCAGAGCATCACATTCGTGTTCGCATTCGCGTAGTGTTTTACGTGTTTGCGTAGAGTTAATTTCTGGGGCAGCAAAGTTGTTCTTCGTGATCTTGAGACTATTTTCGCGATCGCAATTAAGGAATCACTAGGCAGTATTAAAGTTTGCACAAGAAATAAGGGGTTTTCCATTTTATCACAAACTTGAGTTGGGAGCTCCGATTTGGACGAGATTTTGAAGGATTTTCAGAGATATCGATTGGGTGACGATTCTTAACTCCTTTATGGTTATATTCCACTAACCCATCATTAATTTCCTCTTTAATTTTGGATTTTGGGGTTGAAATTGGGAAAAAATTGGAAGAACTTCTTCAACAAATATTTCGAGTTTTGGAAGGGGATTTATGGTCGGATTTGAGTAAGTTTTATATGGTTAGACTCGTGAGTGAATGGGTGTTCGTATTTTGTGACTTTTACCCGATTCCGAGACGTGGGCCCGACTCGACTTTTTAGGACGAATTTCGGAATTTTTTTATAAAATCTTGATTTCATTAATTAGATTAGCCTATTATAGTTGCATTATGATATGTAATTGTTTTGGCTAGATTTGGGCCATTCAGAGTCGGATATTCGTGGAAAAGGCATTCTTACTGATTAATTGAGCTTGGTTCGAGGTAAGTGGCTTGCCTAGCTTTGTGTGGGGGAACTCTCCGTAGAATTTATATTGGTTTTGATACATGAGCGTGGTGTACGTGAGGTGACGAGAACGTACACGGGTAAATGGTGTAAAAACCCAATTTTTCTACTAAGTAATAACCTGATTTCCTTCTGATTTGAGTTCCATCAGCATGTGTAGTATCCGGCTACACTAGAATAGCATACCTACTTGCCTTAACTATTTACTTGAACTACGTGCAACATGTTTAGTGAATTTACCTGTCTTTCCTTAACTGGTACTTAGGTTGAACTGTAGAATTTCGTGCCGTAACTATTGAATTCTATTGTTTGGCTGCATATTTACTGTGGGACTACGGAACGGTATTCCGGGAGATCCCCCTGTACTGCATATTTACTTTGGGATTATGGAACGGTATTTCAGGAGATCCCCTTGTACTACATATTTACTTTGGGACTACGGAACGATATTCCAGAAGATCCCCCTGTTCTGCACATTTACGTTTGGGACTACGAGACGGTATCTCAGGAGATCCCCTGTTGTATTTCTGTGTACCGAGCTGTTACCTTCTATGAATTATTCCTTGTTAAATTTCAGTCTTTATTTTACTGCGATATTTCATTCTTGCCTTGCTTTATTATTATTTATACCAGCAGGGTCTTGACCTGACCTCGTCACTACTC